TTCAGAAGGAAGTCATCAGCTGACCGAGGAAGGACATTTGACAGGAGGAGATCTTCTGACAGAAGGAGATCCTCCACAAGAGAGGGATCTTTTGAAAGAAGAAAGTCATCTCTAAAGTGGCCATATTTCAGAAGGAGGTCCTCAACCAGACCGATCTTCAGAAGATGGTCTGATGTATCATCAGGTATCACTATAGCTAAACTCCTCACTTGCTTTTCTTTCTTTCTCTTCCCATCAATGCAATCAATAATTTGATACGACTTCTTGCAACTGATCTTTCAGATTTTGGGGTCAGCTAATGCTGCTCATTGTGCAGAAGTCCCAGAGATGTTGATATCACTGTTACCTTCCTCACACAACAAATGGATGACTGCTGGCCAACTCTTTTTTTAAGCAGTACTTGTTATTGATCAATGGGCATCTTAGATGCCATCCAATGGAATATGCATCTGATTCAACTTCGAATTTCTCACAAGGAGGCAGACGCTGATGCTTAGTAACAAATAGCTTTTCAAAGTAGGACTTCCTCGGGACTTTATGATAGCCCGCTAAAGTTTGTTAATGAAAGAGCAAACGCCATTAGACATCCTCAAAATTTTTGGGCTTTTTTTGGTTGGATCCCATCTTTGAAAACCTCTCCATATTTTTCTTTATTTCCTATAAAGTCCCTTGTTAAGATTTGGCTTAAGTAAAAAAACAAAAAAACACTCGTGTATAGAGCATGTTCGTTGGATTATGATGACCAACTTGTATACTTTTGGTCAAGATTTACAAGCTTTGTAACTTACTAGTATTCTCATTTTCTGCAGATGAAGGAAGCTATTATTCTGATTTTGAAGATTATGAGACCGACGGGGATTCAGGTAAGCACATAACAACACAAGAGCACACAATAGATACAAACTCAAGGTTAACTGCACCAAACTTGATTGCAGGAAATACCGACTTCAGCAACAGAGTGGTCAATGTCTGGAATACTCTACCTGACTCTGTGGTTTCTTCCCCAAACCCCAAAAACTTTAACCTTAGACTGTCTACTACTGACCTCACCCCTTTCCTTAGAGGTCTGTAGGCGCATGCATAAGTGCACCAACGTGCCTACCGTCCCTGTCCTATTGTTTCTTTTATTTTTCTTATATGTACTCATTTCTTGTATTCATAACTATTTTTATCCTTATACCTATTATCTTGTAAGCGGTTGACAAATCAAATAAATAAATAAATAAAATATTTCTAACTTCGCACCCAACACATCTAGAGGAAATTAGCTGTGAGCAGACAGACCAGTTGAATTGACTAACAAAGATTTTGCTAATCCAGCATTTTCCAAAGATGTTGGCCCATAATTTTAAAAAAAATATTACCAGAAGCAGGAAAATGTAGTAATGGGTGGGGACAACACTCTTTAATAAAATCCACGGTTTGCAGTAGTTCGCACAATATACAATCTATTTACAGCTCAGAACAAATCCTGCCAATTATACTTGTCAGAAAGCAAGATCTGAAGTTGACTTGAGAACAGGATAAAAATTTAGGCACACACCTTTTGTACAAGGCAGTCCAGAGGAACTGTGTTATCTTAAGAAACTGGGTGTGATGGAATTCTATGCTGATGAGTAAGCAAAGCTCAGTTCTTTGAAGATCCCTGCATTTGTAATTTAGATGAATCTTCGGACATGGAGGATTCTGAACATACTTTGAGCACAACCATCAAGACAAACATTCAGATGGATGGACAAGGTCTAGGTATCATACTTATTCAGAATGGGCCTTATCTCCAAGTTTCTGGTCTGGTAGAGAAAGGTGCTGCTGCCAGAGACGGCAAACTCCAAGCAGGTGAGGCGAGACCACAAAACCAGTTCGAAGCCATATAAGCCAGTAACAAGATGAAGACCTATTTACAACAATGGGAAAAAGGGTTTAAGTTCCCAAGTGTGAAAAAAGCCCGCCATCAGCTATGCTCAGTCACTATCCAGGAGAGATGACAGGTAGCTCTCAACTTACAACCACAATTGAGCCCAACATTTATATTGCAAAGTGAGACATTTTGCCCCCATGTTACAGTCCTTTTTGCTGGTTGTTAAATGAATCGTTGCAATTCTTAAGTCAGTAATACTGTGGTTAAGTAAATCTGGCTTCCCCATTGACTTTGCTTGTCGGAAGGTCCCAAAAAGGGATCTCATGACCTTTGGGACACTGCAACCATCATTAAATGAGTTGCCAGGCACCCAAATTTTGATCACATGGCCATAGGGATACTACAACGGTCCCAAGTGTGAAAAGGGGTCCTAAGTCAATTTTTTCAGTGCCGTTGTAACTTCAAATGGTCACTAAATACTGTTGTGAGTTGAGGGCTACCTTGTGCCTCTTTCATTACCTCCATAGAGGCTGCCAACCAAACCCTTGGTTGATCATGTTTGCTCAGAAGTGCTTCTGGTTTTCCACCAACATTGCTCCTGCCACTTAATCTCCTGAATCTCCCCGGTAGATACATGAAAGGGGAGAGGCTACTAATCTGCAATATTGCCTATTGATCTATCGCCTCAGTAGAGCGGTCCATCATGACCTCAGGCACACCTCCAACTACCCTTTGAAAACCCCAAGGATCCATCAGCCCGGTCCCAAAGACCCTTTGTTCCTAGAGGTTGTTTGCAACTGGTCAGCTACATAGCCATAGGAAGGAAGAGAGGGAGCTGACCACAACCAACATCCCCACCCCTTCAGATTATGTTGCCTACTGTTGAAGACCGTGTCTAACATGTGGCCTCCTACAAAAGCTGGACTCTCCAGTAGGTGCCATAAGTACCAGCTGATAAAAATCTGGGCTTGTCCTAGCAAGAAATTTCAATCAATTAAATTGCTCAGAGTCACCTCACTGGGGAAATGGGTGGCATAGAAAATCACCCAACCAACCAATCACCCAACCCAACCCAACCCAACCCAACCCACCAACCTGCTTGTTGATGGACTGCTTGATTTTTGAGCAGTCAACATTTTGGGATGTGTCCTCTTTATTACTTTATTCTTCAGACCTTCAAACACATAACCATTGTGGTGTTGTGATTAATTGAAACTAATTCTTAATTTATTTTGAAGTGCAATTTTCAATTACGTTTCTTAAGCAATGATTGGCAGCTAAGAGTATCATGGGTCAATTCCATTTTTTTAAAAAAAAATTTCATTTCAGGCGACATCCTACTCAAAATCGGACACGCCAACGTCTTAGGTTGGACCTTGCGAGAACTCAGACAGCTCCTGCACACTGTTCCCATAGGGACCGTTCTGCAAATCCAGATTTACAGGGATTTTATTAAAATCCCAGGCCGGTGGCAGACTGCCCTCATGAACATTCCTGAATTAAAAGGGCCTGCAACAGAGTAAGAGTTTTCTATCTGTCCAAGTTTTGGGGAAATAAACCCTAAAACAGTAGTAACTGTCAGGGTAATGATTTAATAGCTGACCAGCTTCTGTAAGGTTGTAATACTTAATGTTGTAATGATGATGCAATGATAGCAATGAGTCAGCAAAGTTATTTGACTGCTACCACTTTAAGAGGCTGTAATAGAAGAGAGACCATGTGAGGGCGTATCTCTCTCTCCATGCGTGCTTCCGTGGTGTAGCTGATTACTGATTGCTGTTCGTTCAAGGCCTGTATCAAAGTATTTGTATGTATATATGCTTTTGTAGGGATAAAACCACTATATGTAAATACAAACCTGTGTACTGTATTTGCTCCTGGGTTATCTCATCTAGTCACACTGTGTGCACTCTGACAGGTTATGGGCCCAGTTCAGAAAGAAGCCCAGAGAGAAGCCCGGAGTGACTAGAGAAACCAGAGAGAAGAGAAACCCAGTGAGGGCTTGCTCCAGAGCCAGAAAGGATTGTGCATTGTGGTTTGTTAGTGGTTAGTGCTTGTAATACGCTACTGGAACTGATCCTCTCTACATTTCAGCATAGAGAGTTACCACAGTGAAGAAAATTGGACAAGCAGCGAAGACTCAGAGAACGAGAGCGAAGAGATGGTTGAAGGGAGCAAGAACAACAGTGAGGAAAGCTACGAGGAACCGGAGCGCGTGAGAGCTTCGTCAGTGGGCACTGTCCGTAGCGTCCGTAGCATCCGTAGCGTCCATAGCATCCGTAGCATCTATAGCATCCGTAGCATCTATAGCATCCGTAGCATCCGTAGCATCCAAAGCATCCGTAACGTGAAAACTCTGCGCTCACTTTCCATCAAACATCAACCCAAATGGATCTCCAAAGACTGGCACATTTTTGAAAGGAAAACCTACACCTTTACCGTGGGTTCCGACATCGGTTGCGACATTATGATCCACAAGGATTTTGAAACGGAAAGCGAGCTGGATATGTCAACGTTATATTTATCTTCATCCTCTCCATATTGGACTATGCCCAAACATAAAGTCCCACACTTGGTATCATCATCTTCTTCCTCCGTGTCAGATGCATTTTGGCTCGAAAACGTTTCTTATGAACTCGAGTAGAGAAGCCCCTGAATTTATCTTTGCCCCTAAGTCTAAGATTGGGGGCGCCTCTCTGGACCTATGGACTGGATTTTTATTTGTACCCCTTATCCCTGAACTGAAAACTGGTTTTCATCTGTGTGGAGATGTGAACATCTGTTTTTTGTTTGTTTGTTTTTTAAAAACTAAAAATACTCTCCTGTGGAAAACCACCTTAGAAAGGAAAAAGAAAACTACAATCCGTTTTCTTACAGGCAGTTTCTGGAAGCCAGCCTCTGAAGAATAATGGAAAGAGCTGCCCTTCACTTTTAGAAGAATTTACTTCAAAATGACCACACTGATTTAAGTAAGTGCTACCTTTTATATGCTACACTGCTCAAAAAAATAAAGGGAACACTTAAACAACACAATGTTAACTCCAAGTCAATCACACTTCTGTGAAATCAAACTGTCCACTTAGGTAGCAACACTGATGGACAATCCATTTCACATGCTGTTGTGCAAATGGAATAGACAACAGGTGGAAAGCAGAGGCAGTTAGCAAGACATCCCCAATAAAGGAGTGGTTCTGCAGGTGGTGACCACAGACCATTTCTCAGTTCCTATGCTTTCTGGGTGATGGTTTGGTCACTTTTGAATGCTGGCGGTGCTTTCGCTCTAGTGGTAGCATGAGACGGAGTCTACAACCCACACAAGTGGCTCAGGTAGTGCAGCTCATCCAGGATGGCACATCAATGCGAGCTGTGGCAAGGTTTGCTGGTCTATCAGCGTAGTGTCCAGAGCATGGAGGCGCTAGCAGGAGACAGGCCAGTACATCAGGAGACTTGGAGGAGGCCATAGGAGGGCAACAACCCAGCATCAGGACCGTTACCTCCGCTTTTGTGCAAGGAGGGACAGGAGGAGCACTGCCAGAGTCCTGCAAAATGACCTCCAGCGGGCCACAAATGTGCATGTGGCTGCTCAAACAGTCAGAAACAGACTCCATGAGGGTGGTATGAGGGCCCGACATCCACAGGTGGGGGTTGTGCTTACAGCCCAACACGGTGCAGGATGTTTGGCATTTGCCAGAGAACACCAAGATTGGCAAATTCGCCACTGGCGCCCTGTGCTCTTCACAGATGAAAGCAGGTTCCCACTGAGCACATGACAGACGTGACAGGTTCTGGAAACGCTGTGGAGAATGTTCTGCTGCCTGCAACATTCTCCAGCATGACTGGTTTGGCAGTGGGCCAGTAATGGTGTGGGAGTGCATTTCTTTAGGGGGCAGCACAGCCCTCCATGTGCTCGCCAGAGGTAGCCTGACTGCCATTAGGTACCAAGATGAGATCCTCAGACCCCTTGTGAGACCATATGCTGGTGCGGTTGGCCCTGGTTCCTCCTAATGCGAGGCAATGCTAGACCTCATGTGGCTGGAGTGTGTCAGCAGTTCCTGCAAGACGAAGGCATTGATGCTATGGACTGGCCCGCCCGTTCCCCAGACCTGAATCCAATTGAGCACATCTGGGACATCATGTCTCGCTCCATCCACCAACGCCACGTTGCACCACAGACTGTCCAGGAGTTGGGGGATGCTTTAGTCCAGGTGTGGGAGGAGATCCTTCAGGAGACCATCCACCTCATCAGGAGCATGCCCAGGCGTTGTAGGGAGGTCATACAGGCACGTGGAGGCCACACACACTACTAAGCCTCATTTTGACTTGTTTTAAGGACATTACATCAAAGTTGGATCAGACTGTAGTGTTTTTCCCCACTTTAATTTTGTGTGTAATTCCAAACCCAGACCTCCATGGGTTGCTAAATTTGATTTCCATTGATAATTTTTGTGTGATTTTGTTGTCAGCACATTCAACTATGTAATGAACTAAGTATTTAATAAGAATATTTCAAGTCATTCAGATGTAGGATGTCTTATTTTTGTGTTCCCTTTATTTTTTTGAGCAGTGTATATAGAGAATTCTCTTTGAAATAGCTAACTCCAAAGGCCTTCAAGATTCAGAAGCTTTGTTTATATATACCTTAACGCTAGAACTCACTTTCTTCACTTATTTCTTTCTTTACAACCCGGTCCAACCAATGCTGGCAACTCCTGCAATCTAGTTTTGGAAAACAAAATGCTGGCCATTCCGTTGGCGTACAAGTTCTGCACTTTATTTGACGTATGTATAGGAACATGGAACTCTGTTAAGCCAAAGCACAGGGAAGAGCAATCAATCCGATGGCTTTGGGGTTCGCCTTACAGCCGTACCCTTATCTTTGCTTTCTCACAACTCGTCAGCAAAAGGGGTATTGGACAGGTTTCCCCGAGCGGTCATCGACTTCTTCCCACTGACAAACTTCTTGGCCGCCTGGCAAAATATAAGCAGGAGGTTTGGTTGGGAAACATATTTGACAATTAGCGAAGCCTGTTTGTTTTAAAATATACTCTTCTAAGTCTCTTTTTAAATAACAAGTGGTCTTCGACGAACGATCACAAGCGGGACCAGAATTCCCTTTGCTAAACAAGGCAGTTGTTAAGCAAGTTGCATTCAATTTTGCAACCTTTTTTGTTGTTGTTGCCGTGGTAGTTAAACAAACCATAGCAGCTGTTAAGTGAACCGTGCAGTCTTTAAGTGAATCCGACTCTCCCCCGCTGACTCTGTCGGAAGTCAGCTGGGAAGGTCGCAAATAGCGATCACATGACCCCAGCATATTGTGACCGTTAAGGGCAAAGACTGCTTATATTCCATTTTTCAGGGTGGTTGTATCTTTCTTGTAAGCAAACGGTCACAAGTCGAGGATTACCTGTAGGGAGGCCGTCTTTCTGTCAGAACAGTGAACTGATGCTAACTTATTTCTATCTTCTTTTCTATTCGAACAGGCCTCCAAAGACAGTTAACATGAAAACTAGACACAAATGCAGAATGTGCCCGATTCCAAAGAATTATTGTTTACGGTGTGAGCAATAAGGACACGTTTACTTTGGAGTGTGCAAATTAACCACAGGCACCAGCCTAATGTAGCTGCAATCGGCATGACGGGATCTCAGAGCAAACTCTGTCCCTCAGCACTGAAGACGGGGGCGCCCCGATTCAGGATTCAGTCCCCGTTATGAGGATGGTTGATCTTTTTATGAAGGAGATCATTAAGACCCCGGTTCCTGCCTACCAAACTGCAAGATACAAAACCTGGCTTCGTTTGATTTCTGATCTCATTATCGTAACGACGGACTGGAGCAAGACTTACATTCACAACGTCGGCAGTGGTCACCGAGTCAATCTGTTCAACCACGTGGGCCGGAGAAGCGTACGTCCCCAATGCTAAAGCCTGGCTGCCAATTTCGTTCAGCAAACCTTCCGAGGACTCCACGGACATGAAGAAAGCCGCTTTCATTTGCTGCCTGTCAAGGAACGGGAGGAAAAGTAAGAACGGCAGCCTGGTCACAATTCATACAAATGGCATATCTTCAGTGTATAAAGCAAGGATGTCCAGTCTTGTCAACTTTAAAACTTGTGGACTTCAACTCCCAGAATTCCCCAGCCAGCCATGCTGGCTGGGG